GGTACAGTTTAATCATATAGTAGTTTTGATGTTTCTAATTTGTATATATCAAACTAATTTTTATTGTTCCTTACTTTTAATATTTTTACTTAAGAATAGCTTCTGTCTGTACTTGTAACTCTGTTTTGTATTTTTATTTACATAATGAACTATTTGAAATTTATTTTATTAGTGTTATTTTACGACTAATGACATAACTGATTTTTAAAGCCATTAACCAGTTTACCCACTAATATTTACTAATATATTATGCTTTATTCCTGCAATTATTTGAAAGGTTTATTTTACATACTTTGGTTGCTTTTCTGTTCTCTTTCATTATTCTTTTTTACTTATTTTATGACATTAACACATTTTTTAATTATTGTGGTTTTATAAATATTTTAACAATGCCTAATTGCTTCTTTATAAAATAAAATTGTAGATCCTTATTCTCTAAATTAGAGTGATCTTCAGAATCACTTTTCATGTCACAAAATAATACTATCGTGAAATTAACTGGAATTACCTTAAACTTATGTATTATTAAGAATGCCTAGAAAAGGTATTTACCCAAAGGACACAGAAACATAAATTCCAAAGAGCACCTGCACACCTATGTTTATAGCAGCACTGTTTACAATAGCTAAGCTTTGGAAACAGCCCAAATGCCCAAAAATAGATGACTGGATCAAGAAGATGTGGTACATATATACCATGGAATATTACTCAGCATTCAAAAAAGATAAACACATGCAATTTGCAGCAACATGGATGGCACTGGAAGGGATCATGCTCAGTGAAATAAGCCAAAAAGAAAAAGAAAAATACCGGATGGTCTCACTCATAGCAGGAATCTAGAAAACTTGAATAAGGGACCAGGAAAATGAATAACTATAAGAAAGTGAAAATCAAAATCAACAAAAAACTATGAACCAGAGACACTTTTTGGGGGGTGGGGGGCGAGAGGGGAGGGATTGGGGTCAGAATGGGGGGTTGCAATTGTATGGGGAATATAAAAATAAAATTTATTATAAATAAAAAAAAGAATGCCTAGAAATAAAATTTATTTCACTTTTGTCCCTTTCTTTAGTATATTTTAATAAAATTGTACAGTATTTTTGCATAAGTCCTGAATGTTCCTTTTTTTAGTTTAGTCTTATGTATATTCATTATCTGTTTGACTAAAACCTCATTTTTTAAAATGCTATTTGTTGATTCAAAATGTCCGAAAGAGACATTGATGCTTTTGTTGAAGTGGTAGCCAGTGCTTATTTTTTTGTATTTGCCAGCTTTTCTGTGTAACTTATTACTTTGAACAGATTTTTAGTAAATTCACTTGATTTTGCAAAGAGAAAAATCATTTGCTACCAGGAAATTACAGCTTTGTCTATTGCCACTACTTGCCTCTCTCTTTTTAGGAATTTGTTTTATTGCATTGGATAAACTTCCAGAAAATTCATAATTGTGGCAATGGCCTGTGTGTACCACACTCTAATGAAAATTCCTCTGGTGCTCCCACACTGAATACAATCCTCACTAGTTTAAAATAGTGCTTCTTTCTCAAGTCAAGAATTATACTCTTTTAAAAATACAAAAATTGGTATTTGGTTTAGCCATATTTATTATGATGCGTATGTGTTTTTTTCCCCTCCTCTGGCCTTCTTATGTAATACATTTTAAAAGCAGTTTTCCTAATATTAACACACACTTTCATTCTTTAGAAAATCATGCAACTTAACAATGAAACATGATTTTGATGTAATATCAGATTCCGGCTTCTATATTTTCTTTCTGATTGTACAGTGGGGAAATGGTTTGTATTTTTCTTTTGGACTACGGTTGTCTAGTTTTAAAGCTAGCATTATGATAGCTTTATAAAACTAATTAGAAAACTTTAGATCTTCTATCCTTTCAAACAGTTTAAGAGAATTATGTTCTTCAAAGTTGGAAAAAAAATTGTTCATAAGAACATGTGAACCAGAGCTTTTGGCAAGTAAGACAACACTTTTCATTTCTTTCTTTATTATTTTTTTCTACTATGCTGTCTGCTTCATCTCGAGTCAATTCTGGGCATTTCTGTTTTCCCAGAAAATCATCCATTTCATTGAGATTTTCATATGTTTAGAGTCGTGCGTAGTATTCCCTTATAATTCTTTCAAACTTTTTTTATCTATATTTTGTATACTTGCATCTTTTATTTTATTTTTATTTAGACTTGTAGGGTTTGCTTTATTTATTCAGTGGTGATTCTAAAAAGTCCAAATGTTAGGCATTTAAAATAAATTTTACTTTCTTCTTCTTTCACAATAAATTTGTTTTTCTTCATTTTTCTCTCCTTCTTTCCTAATGCTCAGTTTGCTATTGTTTTCACATATTTCAGTTGAATGACTATGTTGTATTCTTCCTTGCTTTATAACAATGATAATATATGAGTATGCAGTTGTCCCTGAGTGTGTGTGGCAACACCCAGATTCTTTCATAAGCAGCTTTCTCATAAATATTTTCAAAGTAATTATTTACATTGTATTTTGTCTTAATTTATGAGATTGGGTTTGTTTTATTTAAACTAGCATTAGTAATTTGTAGTTTTTTTCTTTTGTAAATATATAGTGTGATTAGTTGGTATTCGTGTGTCATGAGCATTTTGAAATAAAGTGGGTTCCATTTTTTAGTTTCACATTTGATATATGTCTATTTTATTATTAGCTTTCAGACTTGACTATATTATAATCTTAATTATTTGTGAGTCTTACATCTATTAAGAATGATATATGAAAGTATATCATTTATCCTCATTTTTAATTGATATTCTTTGTGTTCTTATGTAATATATTTAGCAGTGTGTATAAATTATACTAACATGTTCATTTTGAAATATATGACATAGACTTGCCTTTTTCTGTTTAAGTATTGTCTTTCATTCTACTTTGGTATAAATATTTTCATTCATCTTTATCAGCATTGAGTAAATTTTTTTTAAGATTTATTTTATTTATTTATACATTCAAGAGCTGGGGTGCAGGCCAAAGGTGCATGGTGGGGGGGGGTGAGAGGATTCACTAGAGGCAGAGTGGGGAGCAGAACAGGCAGTTGTATGAGAAGCACTGTAAGGATGAACAGCGACCGCAGGGGGCTCAGGAACTGGACATCAGGTTGGAGGCAATTATGGCCCTTTTCAAATACTGAAACGCAGAAAAACAAATTTTTTTCTACTCAGAACTATCTAAAAAGGGATGATTTTTGTCATGAGAAATATATTTTTCTTCCACTAGTTCTATGGACTTGACTTCAACTTCCTTATTGCACCTATTATGTCAACTCTAGATGCCCCATATATGTGACTTCTTAAAGTGTTTATTTCAGGGATTTTCAAAGTTTCAGAATGAATCTATAAATAATATAACAGTTATCTATATACCTAATTTCCAGTTGTATTAGGTGTCAGCATTTTTGCAGATCTGCTCCAAACCTCTCTAATTAAGAAGCAAACTTTTAAAGATGTGATTAAAAACCTTTGCCACTACTGAGCCTGTTCTTCTTTGTCCTCCCTCAAAGTTCACACTGCCCTGAAGTTGGCATCAGTCTTTCCCATCCATGTTCTTATGTGTTTATTGCATACATATCATTGATTAAAAAAAATAACTTTTGGGCCTCCCTGGTGGTGCAAGGGGTTAAGTACCGCACTATGAAGCAATCCGAAGCCTCTGCAGCACGAGTTCGATCCCCAGCCGGTCAGAGAGTAACCCACATGGCGAAGCAGACCTCTCCTGACTCGCCTGCTGCTCAGTCTGCCTGTTCTGCTCCCCACTCTGTCTCTGGTGAATCCTCTCACCCTGCGCATCTCTCGCCTGTACCCCAGCTCTTGTATGCATAAATAAATAAATCTTAAAAAAAATAAATTAACTTTATCCTAAGCTACTTTCTTGTTCATACCCCTTCAGTGACTCCCCACTATCTTTCCTAGAGGCTTTCAAATCAAGTTATCTTCTGAACCCCACTGGGACTTTCAGAAATATAGAGATTCCAGAGTTGTCCTTGGAGACTTTTCAATGTCCAGGATGTGTTGGCGTTGGAACCGCTGACTATGAGGCTGCGGTTGTGGGGGTGTCCTGTGCATTGTAGAATGTTCAGCAGCACCAGTCGCTTCTTTTCACTAGATGTCAGTAGCACCACCCCCTCTCCTGTTGTAACAACCAAATACGTCTCCAAACATTGCCATATTAACCATGTTGTTTGTTTCCTGTAGTTCTGATGCTTTAATATCTGGGGGCTTCCTGACCCTGGAGAGAGTTTGACAATTCCTAGCGAAAGTAAGCAGTCCCTGCCACCCACACCAAGCATGCTTTTCAATAAAAATACAGTTGATCTAGAACTCACACTACAGTCCTCTCCTATGTAGGACTCTGACACTCCAGGATACTATACCCCAATCCTAATCACTGCAGGGCTAGGGGCAGCCTTTATATCTCAGAGCCCACTGAAATGTGCAAATTAGCCCACTGAAATGTACAAATTAGCCAATCCTTACCCTTACCCTGCCTTGCCTGTTCCTCCCTTTGGGAACCACAATAAAGACCCATGCCCACAGCTGCATCTTTTCCATCTGACTCCTGTCTCACCCTGGTGCTGCCCCATATGGCCTTCCCTCTATAGCGATCCCTCTCCTTTTTGGATCTATGAGGAATGCACTCAATTTTCTATGGCAGCTGTTTCCTGATCTTTTGGCCTTACTCTACTTCAAATTTTCTATTAATGTATTTTAAAGCAATTGCCAAGTGTCTTCTCGTTCAAAATTGCCTTAGGTTGCGATTGACTGGTTAGCCTGTAAGCTGGAAATCTATATTTTAAAAAATTTACCTAGGTGATTGAGATCAACACTTTTGGGGAAACCTAACCTTTAGATTTTAAATTCTTTCTTTGAGAAAGCACTGTGCTGCTTTCTTCCCCTTATTCTGCGACCTGACCCTTGACTACACACAGATCCTTCTCACACCCAAGCCTTTACTCTAAACACAAACCCAGCACTTCCAGTGACCTCCTGGACTTCCAATCTCAGGTATTTTTTTAAAATTTTGCTTCTTGAAGAAATTGTCACCACTTCTTAGTCGGTACACATCTGAAACTGCTAAGCCACTCTTCTCCTGACTTAATGCTTTATTACTCACCTTAAAACATGAGGTAATAATGCAAATTTATGCCCTCATAATACATGTCAAGGCACTTATCACAGTTTAGTTTTATGTCTGCTTCTATGATTAGTTGATCCCTGCCTCTCTCCCACACTAAAACGAAAACTTCACCTGGTAAAAGATCAAGTCTATTTTTTGCTCATCATAATATGTCTGACAATAAACATTTGGTGATAAATGAAATAGTTGATTAATTAATTAACCAATTATTTGCTGTTTTATCTTGTCTTCTCAAGTTGACATCAAGCTGCTGCATGTTATTTCGTTTCCATGTTCTCTTCTACCTTATGAATATAGCATAAATGATATATATTGAAACAAAAGTCAACTGTTTATATTATCAATTGTACTTTACAGAGATGGGCTCAGATGCCAGGTACTTGATTTATTTTTTGTTTTTAAGAGTGAGCCGACTCCCTCTGAGCAACAATAGCAACATAAAAACAATTGTACTTAAAAATGAATATATTATGTATGGCAAAACTAGGTCATCTCTTATCCAGAAAAGACAGATTTAATTAAAAGTGAACATTATTTCCCCAAACCAAAAACTATCCTTGCATCTACCAAAAGTCAGGATACTTCCAAGAATTGAACAATATTAGTATATTTTTTTCTGCCATTTTAAATTTCTGGTGCATATTCCAAGAAACCCTGAATGAACCCTGAGAGAAAAAACAAACATGCTCTCCCACCTCAGTAACTTCATTTTTTACATCTAGAGAAAATAACCCTTTCAAAGACTAGGATATTTTTTCTTTCTGAATGATAATTCTATGTGCTTAGAAAATGCTGACTTGACAGTTCCCTGTGAACTCCTACTTGCAGCCCCACCCATGGGACAGGTGGTGTCTCTGGGTTGTTTGTAGACCCTACATCACTGCACCCCTGGGGGCTGAGGTGGGCGCAGACACAGGCTTATTTACCAGCTTCTTCTTGCTGTGCTTCCTGCCTCCATTGTTTTAATGGATCTAAGATCTAATTGTTTCCCAACTCTTAATTGCTATCTAAAAGGTTTGAACACCTAAAATAAAATGTTGACTGTGAAGGTAGTCTACAGGCTATAATTAGAAAAAGTCTGATCTCCTTTCTCAAACAATAAATAAGAGACACCCTGACAGATCTTCAGTATCAAGGGAATTTTTGACCATAATTTGAATAATAACTGCCAGCATCAGGATCCCCCCCCCCAAAAAAAAAAACCTCTCTGTTCTTTCTTAGATGTACAAACCTTCAAATTTCCTTGAGAAAATAAACCTGCATTTCAAAATTTATATTCTCAGGTTGGAAAACAAAAGCACACTCATTATTTCTTAAATCAGAAAAGACTTGTTAGGCTCCAGAGGTGATCGCTAATCCAAAAGCCAGGATGAGAACTGACATCTGCTTCTCCACACCGTCTGCACACAGAAGCAGTTGATCCCAGACAGCAAGAATCATCTTGAGTTCACACAGTAGTCCTTGCCCTTTGTCTGCTGCTTCTTGTGCCACTGCCTCTCCACCCCCACCTCTACCCACTCTGTCTCTTTCCCCTCTCATCTGATGCCAGCCAGTGTCCTTCCCTTGTGTCTGTCTCCTCTCCTCTCTCCTTCGCCCTCCCTCTCGCTCCTCTCCTGAGCCCTGTAATGATTCCTTTCCTTTCCCTCCTACTGAACTTGGAACTGTCTACATCCTTGTTTAAAGTTTGGATCTGCCATAGATCTCTATAAAATAAGATCCACTAAAATAAAATAGATGCACAGAGGCCCTCGGAGCCAAAGTTAAAGGAAGCTAAGAACTGCTTCTCTATTATGATATTCCAGACTTCGTTCTTGGTCACAACTACAGTGATTGTAGTTCTCTCTTGTCCTCAGCATCTTCCAAGTCCTAGAAGCCTATACATGTTTGAAGAGGATGAAAATCTCAGCACCTTCACTGACCAAACCTGAGAATGCTTGTACCTTATTTAAGGAACTGTTCTGATCATGGGACTTCCCAGGTCCTAGGAATCTAAGACACAGCCACCCCATCAGCCCAGCAGTCTGCGATAAGCCCTCATGCACTTGTCGCAATGGGGATTGGAATCTCCTGAGAGGGCACAAGGTAAACAACTGCCTGCATGATTCTTTTTTTTTTTTTTTTATAGAGGCATGTTTTATTTATTTGCTTGTTTGTTTGTTTGTTTGTTTGTTTGTTTATACATGCACTGGGTACAGTCAGAAGCGCGGGAGGGTGAGAGAATCCACCAGAGCCAGAGCAGGGAGCAGAGCAGACAGAAGGACCGAAGTACACTGCTGAGGGGAGCAGCGGGCGGCAGGAGAGGTCTGCGCGCCATGTGGGACCCTCCTCCGGTGGCCGGGGAGCAGCCGGGGATCGAACCGGCGCCTCCGAGGCCGCGGGCAGCTTCGCAACCCAGCGCTCAACCGCTGCGCCACCGGGGAGGCACTGCCTGCATGATTCTTAATGAGCAAAGCAGAAGTGGCAGTGAAAGCACTGGTTTTGATTTAAGAACCAGGGAGTTAGATAGACAAAAAGTGAGTGGAAAGAACAAGAAGCTCAGACATCTCCAACTAAGAGGAAGTGAGCCACACACTCAGGTGCTCCTCTAGCAAATGCTTGCAGATCCATGGCGCCCTCTTCCTGGCCCCTCAGAAGCCTGGATCAGTAACCCTGTCTGCTCTCCTCTGCTGTACACTGGTGGCCATAGTCCTCTCTTGTCCTCAGCATCTTCCAAGTCCTAGAAGCCTATACATGTTTGAAGAGGATGAAAATCTCAGCACCTTCACTGACCAGCAGCTCAAGAGATAGGGCTTCTCTGTCTGGTTAAGGCTACTGATGCCTATAACTCAGGGACAAGAATTTCGGACACCTCCAGCATGCTCATCTCCTAGACTTCAAAATTCTCGGCTTGAGGTCATATGGAATTTATAGATGATCATTCCACTCTCTCTTTGTTTATCCCCATTTTCCTTCATGTGTTTCCATATCTAAAAGTATGGCCAGAAGCATCTCTCTGTTTTTACTGGTGGAAAAATGCTACAGAGAAATTAGTTCCCCTTGAACAGAATCTGACATACTATTTTTTTAAGAAAAAAATATGTATGTGTATATATAAGCAGAGGAAGTAAGTTTATAAGTATCATTAGCTTTTGCTCCTGAAAACAAGAAGAGATTCAGAGATCTTAGTTTGCATGTGATCCAGAATCATTAAGGTGCACAGATATGAGTGTTCTGAGGGGGTGATGTGTTGGAAGGAGGAGTGTGCTTTGCATTTCAGAGATCACTTATTTCCAAAGGTCAGTTTATGAAAACTCTTTTTTTTTTTTTTTTTGGAATTTTTTTTTTCCCTCTAAAGATTTATTTATTTATTTATACAAGCACTGGGTACAGTCAGAAGCGCGGGAGGGTGAGAGAATCCACCAGAGCCAGAGTGGGGAGCAGAGCAGGCAGAAGGACCGAAGTACACTGCTGAGGGGAGCAGCGGGCCACAGGAAAGGTCCACGTGCCATGTGGGACCCTCCTCCGGTGGCCGGGGAGCAGCCGGGGATGGAACCGGCGCTGCAGAGGCTGCGGGCAGCTTCACATCCAGCGCTCAACCGCTGCGCCACCGGGGAGGCCCAGTTTATGAAAATTCTTATAAAAGAACCATGCATAAGCATGTTTTGATGAAGATCACTTTAAAAAATACAGCTTCGAGGTAAAATTGAAATATAATGAGTTGTCCTTCATACAAGTATACAATTGGATCAATCACTGTAAAGTCATAAAGTTGTTTTTTAAATATTTTAGAACAATTTTATGCTCACCACAAAATAAGGGGCAGATACAGAGATTTCCCTTATTCCCTCTACCCCCCACACATACACAACCTCCCCCATTATCTGCATTCCCCACCAGAACAAAACATCATTTACAACTGATGAGCCTACACTGACATATTATCACCCAAAACCATAGTTTATCTTAAGGTTGACTCTTGGTGTTACATAGTTAACGAGTTGAGAGAACTGTATGATGACATGTATCAATTATTGTAATATACAGAGTAATGTCACTGCTCTGAGGATGAATAAGTAGAACACAGATCAATTTTTTTTTGAAAAGGTAGGTATGTTCTGATTCAACAAAGTAGGCAGCATTATCTCCAGACCAAATGTAAAAGTAGAAATCATAAGACCTGAATCCAAATTTCTGTTTCCTTCTGAGGTTCACTGATAACTCATCAGCCTCTCTAAATCCCTTTCTCTCTTAATCTCCTAATAAAGGTTTCACCTTTAATTTATCTTTTTTTTCTTTTTGTTTTATGACACCATACTATATGGTGTGTAGTAAATACCATGAAACTAATCTAAAATGGGATCTATTTGTGTGTGTAGACCATAAGAAACAGCTAAAATAATTTGGGGCAGTATGAATTCAATCTGATTTCAGCCCCACCCCCAAACCTGGTAACCCAGAAGAAAGCTAATGCTGGTGAAGACTATCACTGGGTAATAAACTTCATCTTACATTACCTCCCTCCCCACAATGTTTGTGCCCACAATGGCCTTCTTTCAGTTCATTGAAGATCTGAGGCATTTTCTTCCCTCAAGATCTATGCAGTTCCTTTTCTTTCCAGCTTTGATTTTCCCTACCCATTCTTTCCCTGGATATCCCCTTTGTATCTTTTCAGCTCTCAAGTTCAATGGAATGTCCTTTATTTGTTTATGCATACAAGAACTGGGGTATAGGCAGAGGGGTGAGAGGATTCACCAGAGACAGAGCGGGGAACAGAACAGGCAGATCGACGGAAAAACACTGCTGAGGGGAGCAGCGGGCGAGTCAGGAGAGGTCTGCTGCGCCATCTGGGTTGCTCCTGGGCCAGGGATCAAACTCATGCTGCAGTGGCTTTGGATAGCTTCACAGTGTTGTGCTTAACCCCTTGCACCACCAGGGAGGCCCCTGGAATGTCCTTCTTGTGATGACTGACTCAACTGACTCAACTCAAAACTCCCTGTTTTGGCATCACATCAAATCGTGCCCCCTCCCACCCCCAGATTTGTGCTGTCTGATAAGTTTCTAGTAGCTGCAAGCAGTTATTTAAATTTAAATGAGTTAAGTTTAAATAAAATTCAACATTAAGTTCCTCAGCAGGTGACCCATAGTGACTGCGCCCACTCAGCACAGGTAGCAGTGGCCGCTCTATGAGACAGCACCTCACAGAGCATCCCGTCATCATAGCAGTCTCCACTGAAGAGCACTCTATCTGGATCACTTTTAACTTCTCCTTTATGTTTATGTTCATTGGCACAGGAATTTTTTTATTAGTCATTTCATTTTTATTAGTCATTATTAGTCATGTTTGCCTCCATGTGGACTGTATACTCTGAGTGCAAAACTTAGAAAATATTGATCAGTGCTTTGGCACAAAGTAAGAACTCAATAAATACCTTTTTTGAATGAAGGAATAGTATGGGTAAGTCCAAATTTAGTAGATTAAGAGAATACACAGGGAGGAAATAAATGTGCAGCTAAGCAGTGCCCTCCTATTTTTTTTGCTTGTAATATGCTTTAATTTTCTCAAAAATACTTCTGAAATTGTAGCATGCTTTCTATTTTTTTCTTTTCTTTTTTTTAGTATTTTTTAATTCTTTAAATTTTAATTTTTTTATTTTAACATTTATCATTTTTTAGACAATATTTGCTTCCCCCACCCCCTCAGGTGTAGTCCCAATAGAATCTCCTTCCCCAAGGCACCCGTGCACCATCACCTCAGTCCCCTGTGCTCCTCCCTCCCTCCCTCTCACCTCTCTCCCTCCTCCTCCCCTGCAGGATGTCTCTGGTTTATAATTGTCTGCTTTTGCTTTGTTGCGTTTTGTACTGTTACTATTATTATTATTTTTACACTGATGTCTTATTTGGTTCCCCTATATTCCTGTTATAAGTGAAACCATGTGATGTTTTTCTTTTTCCTTCTGGCTTATATCACTGAGCATAATTCCTTCTAGCTCCATCCACGTTGCAGCGAATGACATGAGTTTATCTTTTTTGATTGCTGAGTAATATTCCATGGTGTATATGTAGCAAATCTTCTTGATCCAGTCATCTATTTTTGGGCATTTGGGTCGTTTCCAGATTTTACCTATTGTAAATAGTGCTGCAATGAACATAAGTGTACAGGTGGTCTTTTGAATCACTGTTTTTGTGTCCTTTGGGTAGATTTTTAGTAGTGGAATTACCCTCCTATTTTTTATTCTAGTGGGCAAAAAGAAAGAAAGAAAGAAAAAGTACACTGGGAAGAAAAAAAGTATTTTGGATTTTCCCAGTTATTGTGGAGTAAAGGTATTTCTGTCTACTTTTCTCCTAACATCAACTGAAAGCAGTGAAGAAGATGAACAAAATACAGAAGAGAAAAAGCCATCCTCAATTGAAACAGAAGAATCTGCACCACAAATCACAAGTGATGAAATATAGCTGCTCAACAGGGTCAAGGTGGATCGAACTGGAGGCAGACATCAAGAGTAAACATCCTCACAGTCTAATGCCAAGTTCTCCAAATGTAGTTCCTCCAGATGTAGTTTCATCCCCTCAAAGAACCAGAAAACACTGGGAACATCCCCCAATCCCATTCCATGATAGATGCCAGGGTAGCTGGGGCCAAACAATAAAGTATAGTGTTACTTGACTGAAAGTCAGTGGTCTGTATGCCAATCACCACTAACTGAAATGAAATACACACTAAATTGCCTCTCAAAGTATTCACACATGAAATACATAGTCATTTGTGGCGGGAGGGTAAATGAGCTCTTAGCCGAGACCCTCTCCATAGTTAAAGGAAAACTGTCTCAGGTCCTGTGGAATGTCCTCCTGTATTCCTCATCCAATTTTTTAGCAAATGCTTAATGCAAAGAAAAAGTACCCCCATTTAAAGATAAGTCATAATCAGAAAAAAAGGCAGCCTGAGCAATTGGCATGGCTATAACTAGACAGAGGTGTCATTTCTTTGATTTCCAAGAGACAATATCTACTGTCTGAAGATGATTAAAAGAAAAAGATGTGTGTGGTCAAGGAACTGTATGAATAGGTATATCAAGTGAAAAACACAACAAAGTACACATGACAAAAGAAGAAAAACAAGGAAGGTGATATGCAAAGGAAAGTCTTTAATTTTCTTTTTTTTGTATTGTTTTTGGCTGGTTTTGGTGTAAGGGCAATCTGTTTTGTTTTTGTTCTTTTAAATGTGTTGAGAAGGGTTCCATCCTATTTTTATGGAATAGATTGGGTAGAATTGGTGCTGGTTCTTTAAATTTTTGATAGAATTTTCCAATGATACATCTATGTCTGGAGATTTATTTTCCAAGGAGTTTTTATATAAATTCAATTTCCTTAATAGTTATAGGGTTATTTGAATTTCATATTGATTGGGTGACTTGTGATAGTTTGCATTTTTCAAGGAATTAATGTGCTTCATCTAAGTTGTCAAATGGAGAGTGTATGGAGATGTTTGGAGTTTTTTACCATTATCCTTTTCATATCTATAGGGGTGATACCCTGTTTCACTTCTGTTGTTCGTAATTGTGTCTTCTCTATTTCTTTTTCAGCCTTGCTAGAGGTTTCTCCATTTTATTGCTCTTTTCAAATAAGTGTTTTTTTCCTCCATTGGTTTTCTGTTTCCAATATAATTGATTTATGCTCTGTATTATTTTATTCTTTCCACTAGCTTTGGGTTTGGTTTGTTCTTTTTCTAGGTTCTTAAAGTACAAGCTTTAATTGCTGATTTGAGACTTCTCATCTTTTCTAAGTATGTAGTACTTAGTGCTTATAAGTTTGTCAACACTGCTTTAGCTATGTCACATATTTTTCTGTCTATTCAAATTATTTATTATAAGTATTATCTATGCAGACTCTTTTTTTAGATGAGAATATTAAGCATCTGGAAAAGTTAAGGAGCATATAGAAATAAATACAGCCAACTTCTGACATTTAGGACTAGACTATCAGGTCTTCAGCCTGATACTGCAGTCATCTTAACCTCACATAGAAGATAATGGCAGCATAAAAATCACTTAAAGACTTTTTTAGGTATTCAATTAAAAAAAATATAAGTTTTAAGATAGGACCCACCTGTTTTAAAGATAATAGGCCTTAGAATAAAAGAAGCTTTCTTTGTGAAATTAAGATTTAAAATGTTATCTCTTTCTTCTTTCAGATAATTATATTATCACTCCTTTTTTCCAGCTTCATTGAGAAATAATTGACATACATATTGTTGTACAAGTTTAAGGGGTACAGCAGAGTGATTTGGTTTACATATTTTGCAAAATGATGACCACAATAGGTTCAGCTAGTATCAGTCTTCTCATATAGATACAATAGAGAGGAAAGGAAAAGAAAAAAGGAATTTCCTTGAAATGTGAACTTTTAGAATTAGTCTCTTAACTTTCTTCCCTAGCATACAGAAATGTTAGCTATAGTTGTCATGTTATCTCAACCACATTCCAACCACAGTGCTTATAAATGGAATCTTATAAATGGAATTTGGTACCTTTGATCACATTCCTTCAATTTCTTCATCCATGCCTTCCATCTCTGGTCTTTTTTATGAATGGCAATATTTTATCTTTTTTATAGCTTAATGGTATTCCATTGTGTGTTTGCGCTGCATGGTCCTTTTACCACTCTTTTGCTGCTTGGCATTTAGGTTGTTTCCATAACTTTGCTATTATAAATAGTGCTGCATTGAGCATAGGGGTGCATCTATCCCTTTGAATTCCAGGGGAACCAGTATGGAAGTTTCTTAAAATATTAAAAACATATCTACCATATGATGCAGCACTTTTACTCCTAGGCATCTATCCAAAAAATAGAAAAATAAAAATAATTTTTACAAAGTCTTTAAGAGAAACGTGAATACTATAAGGAAAAAATACTTAGGGGTAGGGCCCAAGAAATCATTTTCATGAAGAATGCACATAACTAACAAATGTGGGGAAAATAACCCCTTGCTCAAGTGACTGAAGAAATCAAAATAAGAGCAATCCTAATAATGAAAAATTTCTTGAGTAAATATTGGCGTGCCCATAAGATAGAATCTCTTACAGTTAAGGAATACTTAATTCCCTGGGAAATACTCATAATTCATCATTAACTACAAAACAAAAAACAGATTTACAAAGTAGTTTTTAACTACTATTTTAATAGGTTAAAATATTTAGAGAAATAATCCATAAAGCTAACACATTAAGGTATCAGTTTGCAAATATCACTTGATAATTAGGTATTGGATCTATGGTTAATTTTTACTTTTCATCTTTAATTTTCAGTTTTACTTTCCTATTTTCAAAAATGTTTTTAAGATTTATTTATTTTTATACAAGAACCAGGGTACAGGCCAGATGTGCGGGAGGATGAAAGGATTCACCAGAGACAGAGCGGGGAACAAAACAGGCAGACTGATGAAATACACTGCTGAGGGGAGCAGCAGGCGAGACAGGAGAGGTCTGCTCACCATGTGGGTTGCTTGGAGGCCGGCGGGGATCGAACTGGCATTGCAGAGGCTGCACACAGCTTCACAGTGCGGCGCTCAACCACCTGCACCACCAAGGAGGCCCTCAAAATGTATTTTAAAAAGCAAACTCATATATAAAACAGAACAATGAATATGTTAGGGATTTCTCCTAGAGATGACTTCAGTTGCTTAATGACGTCATCTGATACACAGTCTCTTTAACTTTCTTTTCTGCCAGTCGTAGCATTTTGGTTTTTATTTTTGTGCTTGTTATTTCATCATTGCATATTGACTAGATGCACCTCCTGGTACCATACCAGCACTCTGGATAGATAGAAGAAGGAGGAGACCCCACCTTTAGGCTATACCCGCTTATCAGGACTGGTTCCCAGAAACTCCCTTTAACAGACTTGCTTACATTTCACATGCCCGACCACAAATCCGCAATAAGGAGAGCCAAAGAATAAATATTCCATTTTCCAGGCTCTGTAGTAGATGATGGCAAGAAAAAGAGGGCGTTAGGAATGAATCTCGGATGAGCCAACTGCAGTTTTTGCATAGTATTTTTATGTAGAAAATTGAAAGCATATTTTGTAGAGTGCATCAATAGAATGTAGTGACAGCCAAAATATGCAAGAACCATGTTTTGCAAACCCTGTAAAAAGCATTTGTGACATTTGACCATTAAAAGGAGTTAGGAGATGTACTTACAAACTATTCAGGCTCTGATCCCTACATTGCAGGGGTGTGACACTATAAATTATATGTCTCTTTGCTGAAAAAAGATTAGAAGATTGATGTCAAGTACATATGTGTCTACCATAAACTCCTTCACAGGCACTTTGTTGTATGTGACAGGGAAGAAAACTTTCAAGCTGTGTTTGGTTACATGAATCCTAGGTCAGCCATCCACTGACTGCAAAAAAAAAAATGATCAAAAAACAGGATTAGCTGTACAACTGAAGGCGGCAAGCTGTCAGACAAAGAGCAAAGCTGGGTGGGGTGGGCGGTCAGACTACAAAACAGCTGTGTGCCCTTGAACACATAATCAACATTAACCATCATAGTTTCCTAATCCATAAGATCAGGGAGTGCAGGCAGGATCGCTTAAGCACTCTGAGCATGAAGTGACTGCATCCTATTATAAGTGATGTCTTCTGAACATTAATAACTGCAAAGGTAATGAATCACACTAAATTTCTCGATGTGAGCTGAAAGAAAGGAACACAAAGAGATCTGGAGAACAGAGATATGAGGAGCCGTTGGCTCTGTGTCAGCCACCATCGGTCACATGAATGGTATACTCCACGGGAGAAACATAAGCAGATATAATAAACTCCTAGAATTCAGTAGAACACCACTGACATTACTTTTGTGCAAGTGGAGGAATGGCTTCACAATGCTGTTGATTGACTCTACACACCAACTCAAGATTTGAAGTCCTTCTTCATCTCACTTCACCAGCTAGAGAGAATATTCCTCGAGTGAAATGAATCATGATGGTCAGGAAGCTGTCACTGATACTTAGCTAAAATCTTTCAGTCTAGGAATCAAGGCTAGACAAGAAACCCTACCTTGGTATCACCAAAGTATTTCAATCTTCAGGTGTCGATGAAAGCCATGGCTGTCAGCACAGGCTCTGATGGAGCTGGAATTCTTATACCGCCTCTGACAGCTGTAACGTTCATCCTGCTGCTTAATCTCCGTGTACTTTCATTTCTCATCTGTAAAACAGAGGACAATAATTGTACCTACACATTGAAACTGGGTGAAATTAAGAAAATTTTAGCCCAATACCTAACCTCTAAATAGCAGTTATCCGAGAGGGAAGTTTAAATTCTTTAAGCAGAGCAAAGAATTTGCAACTAAGTTTATCAACTGTTATGTAGTTACTAACCTATAATGGATTTAATTTGGGAATCAGGTTTCCCTATGCAGAAATATACAGAAATCACAAAAGTAGAAAACTTACCATAGAGAATATATGCAGTGTGCAAACAGTTGTTGCCTGAAGTCCTAGGGTGTTTCCTAGCACAGGTGAGCTACTTCTGCTCCTGGGGAGGAGGCACAGAACAAGAGAGGAACAAGATCTGGACAAAGCCTAAGTAGAAATGTATCTTTGGATTGACCCTGGACTATAACTTTCAGCAGACACT